ATATATATATATACAGAGTCGTTGAATTTACCTCTTACTCAGAGATGAAAACTGCCATTGAGAAACTGGATGGAACTGAACTCAATGGACGTCGCATTCGTTTAATAGAAGACAAACGGAAGTCCCGCAGATCCTACAGTTCATCATCTCGCTCAAGGTCTCGTTCCCGATCTCGCTCCAGATCCAATCGCAGTAGGTCTCGTAGCCGCTCCAAGTAAGTTCCTGGCTTTTTCTTTTTTTCTCTCTGAGTCACTAAAAATAATGCTGCCTCTTTGATTATTTATCCAAGTTCAGCAGGCATTGATCAAAGACCGTTTAAATTCAATCAAACTTGTAATTTCAGCCCACATAAAAATCAGAGGAATTATTGAAGACAAGAGACCCCCCATTGGCCTCTTGGCGACAGGTGGAAGCTTTTACTTTCGGGGATTCAACATTTTCTTATACAGGGTGATCCAAAAGTCCCTTCCACCCCCTCTAACTTTTTACCTAATTGAGGTACAGATTTGAAACTTGGGGGATATTCCTAGGTAAAAGGGAGCTACTTTTTGGCCCCCCTAAAATTTTCAGGGGGGCCCCCCTTGGGGGGGCAACGGCCCCCAACTTTTAATTTTCAAATGGGAAGACCCCCTTTGTGATAGCTCCTTCGAAAGAGCATAAAAAAAGAAAACTTTTCGCGCAAACCCGAAGTCAATATCTTAAACCGTTTCAAAATGGCGGCCGGTTAAAGTTCAAAATGGCCGAAAATTCACACCGGTTATTTGTCGATGGATTTGCGCGAAAATCGGTATGTAGGGGTATTTTGACACGAGAAAAACGAATTTGACGTTAGATTTTAAAAAAAAACCGAAATTTCCAAAATGGCCGCCGGTTAAAGTTCAAAATGACCAAAAACTGATTTTTTTAGAAATCTAAGTTCAAATTTGTTTATCTAATGCCAAAATACTCTCAAATTCCAAGTTTTAGGCAAATCCATCAGCAAAAAACCGAGGTGACAATTTTTGGCCATTTTAAACTTTAACCGGCGGCCATTTTGGAAATTTCGGTTTTTTTTTAAAATCTAACGTCAAATTCGTTTTTCTCGTGTCAAAATACCCCTACATACCGATTTTCGCGCAAATCCATCGACAAATAACCGGTGTGAATTTTCGGCCATTTTGAACTTTAACCGGCCGCCATTTTGAAACGGTTTGAGATATTGACTTCAGGTTTGCGCGAAAAGTTTTCTTTTTTTATGCTCTTTCGAAGGAGCTATCACAAAGGGGGTCTTCCCATTTGAAAATTAAAAGTTGGGGGCCGTTGCCCCCCAAGGGGGGCCCCCCTAAAAATTTTAGGGGGGCCAAAAAGTAGCTCCCTTTTACCTAGGAATATCCCCCAAGTTTCAAATCTGTACCTAAATTAGGTAAAAAATTAGAGGGGGTGGAAGGGACTTTTGGATCACCCTGTAGACAATTACAAGGGAGCTATAGTCATCACTCTTATTTCGGCTGTTGACCTATCTACATGGTGGATGATGAGCTTCAGGTGACGTTATGAGCCAAACAAGTTTCCCAAACTTTGGCTTGTTTGCGAAACGAAACTGCCAACAAGTTGTTAAACATCAACTATGTAGGTAAGTCTGCAGTAGAATGCTGAAGTCCGGAAAGTAAAAGCTTCCACCATTGCCAAGATACTGGAGGGTCTCTTGTCTCTGGGAATTACACTGAGAATAATGACTGAATCTGAAGATCATTCTGACAAAAGTCCTTGTGAGCCCTAGCTTAGCTTAAATTGTTGTTGAAAACAATGGTAATTTGAGTCTTCGTATAAATAGATCAGAAATTTACAGAATGAATAAGTGCTCTGCCCATGAGAATCAACCTTTTGCCCTCTGAGTTAGGAATTCGCCGACCGCACTCACACCATAGGTTCGGTATTTGTATACAGGATTTCAACATGAACAAACAAGTAAAAGTGATAAGCAACAGTGGCGCAGCCTGTCGAAACCCATTTCAACAAATAGTCCATTTCATTGCCAACAGATAGCACTACCCATGTGCCTTTTTACAATTGGAAACGGGCCAGCTAGAGCGGCAAATATGATGAAGGTTGCAAGAAGAGTATACTTGTCCATAGGGGCTCAGTGCGGTTTTTCGATGACAAGTATACTCGTCTGTAGGAGGCAAAGGTTTAAGCAAGATTCACTAGATTTCTTCATCTGAGCCTCTGCGAAGTTCTGTTTTAGAGAAGCTGTTTTCCCATCCGAGAAAACATTGTCTGTTGTCCAAACAGAGTGGAGTGACAAGACGACATTGAACTATGTTATTTATTGGTTGCTCGACAAGCAAAACACTTTTTCCTGACTTCAAAGTTACCCATGCTCTGTCACAAAATAATTAATTTACTAAGAAAAATTATTTATTACGAAACATCCTAACTCCTAAATTGTTAACTTTTTTGTACCTATCCAATCATATTTCTTATCTTTTTCTTTCATTTTTGTGACTTAAGATCTGCCCGCAAGTCCCGATCGCGATCTCGCTCACCAGCAAAGAAGCGCGACTCAAAATCCCCCTCAAGGTCTCGTTCACCAGTGGCAGACAAATCATCACGATCACCATCCAAGAAGCGCTCCCGATCTCGTTCTCCTGCTCCTAAGAAACACTCGCGATCCAGCTCCTCGCACTCCAAGAGCCACTCAAGATCTCCTGTTAAGAAACGCTCCAAGGCTCGTTCACCCTCAGCTGACAGGTGTGTGTCTCCATATAATTTGTATCCTCTTTTGTTTTGTGAGAGAGTGAGTGTAGAAATAATCTAATTTGTTTTTTATTTTTATTTTTTTTTATTTTTTTTGTTGTAACCAAGGTTTCCTGATCCAGGAAATCTCAGTCAGCCACAAATACAGATACCTGTAAGGTCAAAGCTAAAGCAGGAAATCTTTTTAACTCTTCTAATTCATTGATATTAGCTGTTTATAAGAATTTGAACACTAAGGAATTTATAAACGTTGTTCAAAATTTTATTTACTATTTCTGTGAAATCAGACCAGAGATATAGAGGGTTTATTAACCAAGTATTAAAGCTTTATTTAAGTTGGTAGTTTGCCATAATCTGACTAATTGTGGAGCTTTGCCATTTGTACTGTTGATTTGATGATAAATGGGTAGATTAAAATTCTGTATTAAAGTCAGGAAAAAATATTTTGTTACAAGTCAAGAAAAATACAATTGCTTTTCCACACACACCTGTACTCAGCGTATTTTAGGAAAAGAGCTTGAATCAGGCTTGCCACAGTTGAGGAAAAATATGTCTGAGAATTTTAGAAAGTCGGGGAAAAGCTGGAAATGTCAGGGAAAATGACGAAAGTGTACAGGAAAAATTGTTCATTTGCCTTTATTTGCTGTCCTGAATGAATTTGATGTTTCAAGCAATGAAATTGTGCATGAAATTTGTTTTAAATAATGTTTTTTTAACCATTTGGCTCATCTTCACTTGTCAGGGAGTTTTACCGAAATGTATCAGGAAAATTAGAGAAATACTGGGAAAATTCATTCTCTCAATTTTGTGACAACCCTATCTGCTCTTTATCAACTGTTTACCAACCTGAAGAATAATATAATGTCTGAATTTTATCACTGCTCACCCATGAATTATTTAAAAATCTTTTTAATGTGAGTGATTTCCAATAGTTGAATTTCCTCATACATTTATATTTTTATTACTTGTTATTGATTGAAGAATTTCCTTTTTTTTCAGTGATAGGCGCTACTCTGAGTCACCACGCAAAGACCGCTCTGCCAGCCCAGGCATGAAGAATGGAGACAGATCCGGCGATGACGATTAAACTGTGATCAAACTTGTTACAAGAAGTTCTCTTTGTGAACAGACACACAGCAAGGAAGCAAAATTTTATGGACAAATGAGACCCAAAACGGAACAAAGTTTGGAAGATAGTGTTAATATTCCAGAATTGCTTTTTCTCCCCTTAAACTTAGGTATTTTGAGTTTTTCAATCACGTAATGATAATTATTAGTTCTGTATAGTCCAGTCCTTGCTCATGTCGGGATCTGTACAACTTGTATAGAAAGTATTTAGAGGGGTGCAGAATTATCTCAATAGTGTTTTCTAACTCAGTGTGGCAACTTCACTAAGAGTGAGTAACACATTAGAGTTAATTTGCTAACAATCATAAGTCTCTCCCCCCCCCCTTTCTCATTTTATGAGCATTATTAGGACTTGGATCTTATCACAGTATTGTTTTTGACATACATTGACGGATAAAAAAAGAATGACACATCCTTGTAGGAATCTTGAGAGAGGGTCCCCCCCCCCCTTTGCTGTAGAATGGTAATGGTTTTTGCCTCTGTGAAATCTTAAAAAATCACTGAATTGATTTGATGTCATTTTGTGCGATACAACTTGAAAATCGTGTTTTTCTTAATTTGTCGGAAATTTGAGAGTAATGAAAATGCTGTATCATCAAACACTTAATTTTCTCCTTTTTGTCCTTTATGCTATTTTCAGAGTACTGAACTTCAAGCATTTCTTCTCTGCCTTTTTGATTTTATTTTTGATTAAATTTATAATTACTGATATTATGTTTCCAATGAGTGTTATCTCTGTATTAGCTCTTAATGTGTAATCTCTTTGCATTGAGTTACCCGCACTATATGTTACATACTTGTTTGAAAATGTTGTAAATCAAAATTTATGTTGCTCCTTCCTCGTTTGGTTAAGTTTACGTAACCTGCATCATTCATCACAAGGTCATTTGAGCCTACAGTTTCCACTCATGAGAAAAACTTGATCCCTCTTTTCATCAATTAAGATTTATTTTCATATGTTTAATATTTTTTCCTCTAAAGAGACTTATCCTTGAATATTTCTTGATATTCCATCACGCTAGTTTGTGGAAGAGTAAGTGCGAGTATTCAGTATTTTTAGAGAAAGAAGAATGTGTGTATTTCAAGCATGTAGTGTTCAATATGCAAAATAATTACTTCTGACAAGAATTTCTGTACTTCATCCACTGGTTTTTTTTTTTTTTTTAACTTGCAATGTTTTATCAGCAAGTCTCATCTAGCAGACATGACTGAACAGATGATATTTTAAAACCATCAACACCTCAACTAAGACTTTTAGTTGGTTTTTCTGACCCTTGGATTATGTTGTAGCCCACCCTGTTTATCTCTCCTTTATCATTCGTTTTGTGAACTTTATTTTGTATTTACTTGGAATTACAGTGAAAATAACCTTAAATCCTTTTATTAGTTATTCTTCTGTCACCTTATGATTTTTCAAACAGAAGCTGGCTTGGACTCTCATAGAAGAATTTATTACAATCATTAATAATAAGGAACCATAATTATATATGGATTGTATTCGACAGTGGTTCGATGTATCATTTGGTTCAAAACAACAGAACATAACCTCAAACCAAAATCTTAATATGTTTGTCAGATAAGCTGATACTGAGAAAATTCCTTGCAATTTCACTACCCGTGGCCAATTAGTACTCATGCAAATCAAAAATCTATGCAATGCTTAAATCTAATGCTATCACAAAAAACCTGTTCCGTCAGATTACTCAATTGACTTTTTAGGCTATGTTTATGTTTTGAACCAATCAATATTGATACAAACTAACCCGTTTGATGTATCGAATACGATCTATTATTAAAATTTGCTAGGAGAGATGTTATTTTGTCTAGTCATGATTGATAGAAGGTATCAACATACAAATTAATTTACAAGTTTTTTTTTTTTTTTTTTTTTTTTTTTTTTTTTTTTTTTTAACGAAAACAAGTTTTATTACAATAAATTATTTCAATTTACACCAACAATAGTGGAATACATTTTTTTTTACAATGCAGTGATGGGCTTTTGAAATCAGTTGTTGTCTAGATAACCCACCACCAGGGATAGTGAAGATAATGTAGGAGGGCTCCAAGGATCTTTGAAGAAATTACACTATTAAGTTTCCTATAAACATCCATCAAATATCTCTAATTATATCTTCTGAGCCTATTGTTAAGTTTCACTCAACATGCTTCTGCTCTATCAGGTGGTCTCACACAATTATTTTCACCGACACTGATAGTTCAATAACTGACCTCTGTTGGATTAGATCTTCCTCTTTTTTTCCCTGCCTCGTGTAACTTCAGCTGAAATTTTATGGTACTTGTCAATTTAAGATGTCAATGAAAATCCTTACTGCCTGTTGGCTGCAATGGCACAGAAATAATGTCAATTGCCATCATTTTTCAAGGCATTTTCCTGTAAGAAATCAAAGTTGTTGCTTTATTAACCTTTTTTGCTCTCAATTTCTTTGCGCTGGTGTTGGTATGCATATCATCCAATTATAAGCCCTCATTGTAAAATTCTTTACTCAACAAAAAAAGAGAGTGAATTGGCAACTCATCTTATTACATAATTTTAGAGGAAGTCTTTCACAATTTAACTTGGTTTTGGTGGTTCCTACCGAAAGACTGCATACTGTTTACTAGAATCAATTTTAGTCCAACTTCATAGGAAGCCTCTATTTTCAAGTAGCACAGGGCAACAGAAATATTAAGTCAATTTTGTAATTCAATGCAATAAAAATGCAGCATTTTTAGATCATTCGGTCAATTAATATTGACTCTAAATGATCGATCAAGTGCCCTTGTGTGTGAGAAAGGTAAGGAAATTGCAGCCTTTTTAAATTGAATCTTTCAGTTCTAAAACGACCCAACTCGGGTTTTTCCCGGGCTTACTTTGTTTATGGAGAAATACTCTTTCTCCGGCTGTTACGCAGTTTTCATCACCTGAAAAATTTCATCTGCCCAAGATGGTCGTTTTCGAATCGACAGATTCTATTTTATCACAATAAATTTCAATCGGAGGAGCCCATTCAACCAGTGAATATACAACGTACACAACACTAGCCTAGTAGTAATAACTTTACCATGTAGTAGGAATTAATCTCAATCTGTGCTACCTACTTTGACTTTAGTGGCTTTTCTGTCACTGGAAGTAAGCAAAATAGTAGCCAACGATGTGCAAAGCCAGTAAAAAGTATAACTTCAGTCACCTCTTTATTTAAGGTTTAGTGCCCTCCCAGAAAAAAAAACTTGAGACTTATGCTCCTTTTTCCTCCTTCATTGGGTTGTATCAGCACAGTACTCACACTTTTACTTTCTCACCCGTTGTGAATTCGGGCGAAAAATAAGAAGTATGAGTACTAATTTGAGACTTTTCTAACTTAAAATTTTATCAATAGGAGAGAGGGTCAATTGGGTCACGGGTCCTCTTGGAGAATTTTCAAAATCCAGTTAGTTGTGAGGGCAACCTTATGGTATATCCCTGGCTGGTGGTCGACTGCACATCCAAACCCGGCGCTCGTAATACCGGCCAAAATCCAACGCCCATTAAGGTCATCTTGCACAACGAGAGGACTCCCTGAATCACCCTGTAATAAGACATTTAACATGAAAACATTCTCGTACCTAGGTACGTGTCTTTTCAAAACAAAGATATTTGACTCGGCTCTTCTCAAACCTCACTTTTTTTCTTTCAATTTTTCTCAGCTACCCTTCAGGTACCTACTCTTGAAAAATGGCGTAGTCCCAATGTTTCCAATCAGTTTGGAAGATTTCTAAGAATTTTCCCACCGAAAAAAATTATTTCAAAACTTTCAAATAGATTTTGACCACTTCAAAAAATTTTGATAACTCTCCTTGACGAGTAGGTACTTAAATCGTTCATCTTTCGCAGGGGTGCAGAAAATGCCCGATCACGCGCCCGGGTGATCGCGTGAAAATGTGGAAAGGCCCCGATTTTGTGAAAAGACCCAAAAAATAAGGGTAGGAGGTAGAATTTTTAAGGGCTGAAAATGCTGCACGTCTCCGCATCAGTCCGCGTAGAGGTCCGTGATACTAGCGCATTGAGGTGGACGATTCAAAGAACGCGATTCGCGGGGAATTTCAAACTATATAGGTATTCATGGATTTCGATTGACAGAGTCTCGTTTCTTGCTTCCGGAAGTAAGAAATCAGAGGTGGTCACCGCTCTGATGAATTTACCATTGCAAAATCGGGAAAAGACTGCTTGAAGATTTCCCTGTTTTCCAATGTATGTATAGGCTTTCCACTTTTTCAGGACCTTTTCTACATTTCCTGCAACGTGATGAGAGCGAATGAAAAATTGTGAAAAGATTACCTATGCAAAACGTGGAAGGACCAAGGAAAATTTATTTTTCCTATCATCCCTCCACAACTTACGCTGTTTTTACCTACCTACGTGTTTCCTCCACGATTTTAGTAGTTTTTACGGATTTCAACCTGAAATTTTGGAAACCTTTCATAGTCGTGACGTTTCCACATTTTCTCTAACTGGATGAAAGTTATTTGAAAGTTGTGGAAAGATGATGCAAATTGTAGAAGGGCCCAAAAATTGCCCTATGATGATTATCATCTTCCCAAAATTTGCTCTTTTTTTCGCGTGTCTCTCCCACGTTTTTATAGATTTCAGCCTGGAATTGTGGAAACCTTTCCAAAATCTTCTCCCTGATTGAAAAACATCGATAGTTGAGGGAAGAGGCTACTAACGTTGAAGGATGTTGTTGAAAATAATGACATTCTCCACATTTTTTCACAATATGGCTTTCTCACGTATTTTCTATTTTTCTCTCAACCTCGAAGCTTTGCCAAATTTTCCGGACTCCTCTATATTTTGGGGCCTTTTTAAGTTTTCAGGACGTGAACCGATTCATAATTTATTTTACATTTTCGGAGAATTTCTACACTTTTTAGACTTTTCCACATAGATGTTGTCAACTATTCTACATTTTCGAGACGGCTCCCTATTTTCAAGAATTTTCACCTCCGCCCTCGCCCTCTTCTGAGCTATAAAACCACCTTAAAGGTATAGAAATTTAATAAAAACGTGATCCCGAGCGCTATATCCGCTCTCAATACACGCGTGCATCTCGTGAAACGCAGGTTTTATTTGCATTGGAATCAATTCGATACAGTACGCACCAAAACGCGTAAACTTCGTTATTTCGGGCATCAAATTTTTTGGGAAGCAAAGAAAAAAAGAAAAAAAAATGTATCACTTTTGAAATTGACGGGAAATACGGAAAGCCGGCGGCCGGGCGCGTGAGAATATGGAAGCTTGGAACATTCTGCACCCCTAATCTTTCGTTCTCGTTTCTTAAATCGAGAATATTTTACATAAAGACATAACAACTTGGAAACATTTCATTTTTCTTAAAAAAAGGGGAGGGGGGGGGCGGCAAGTCGCAGAAAACAAGAGAACCCTTCATCTAAGCCTAAAATCTAAAAAAACGAATTTGCAAATTTCTGACGCAAGCTTTTCGATCAGAGACCGATTCAATCGTGTAGAAGTCGAGGTTAAGGCTCAATGGGACTCAGAAATTTATTTCTGATTTTGATTTTGTTTATTGGAATCGCTCAGCAAACAGCGAGCAACTGTTGAGTTGCTCGCTTGATTTTCGGATTTAACGATGCGAGCATAAAGCCTACATTCATAAACGTCTGTAATTTGAGGAAAGTAAAAATCCAAGAATTTCCCTCATTTCCTCGTGATACTACGTCACATACCTAGTTCGAATTCTATAATAGTTGCGCGTTTGATTTCCGCATTCAACGATGCGAGAATAAGTAATGCAATCATAATCGTCAATAATTTGAGACACGCGAAAAGCTAAGATTATCCTTCATTTCCACGTGATACCACATCACGTATCTATCGGAAGGGTACATACATACCAATTCTGACGAAGTCCCGGACTCCGAGCCAGGGGCTCAAGCGCGCAACTATTGGTACTCCGAACTAGGTATGTGATGTGGTATCACAAGGAAATTCAGGGTAATCCTAGCTTTTCACTTTTCTCACATTAATGACGTATATGAATGTAGGCATCGTTGCATGCGGAAATAAAGCGTGCGTAATATGCTCGCATCATTGCAGCGGAAATCAAGGGCGAAATATTCGAACTCCAAACTAGGTATTTAAGTACTATTTGATGTGGCATCCCGCGGAAATGACGGGAAATCTTATCTTTTTTTTATCTCGTATGACGGACGGAAGTCAAGCGCAAAACTATTCGAGCCCTGCACTCCGCTAGAATCGTTTTGTGATGCGGTATATCACGGGAAAATGGAGGAAAATCTTAGCTGTTTTCTTTTATTGAATTACTCACGTTTATAAATGTACAGGCATCATGCTTGCATCGCTAAATGCGGAAACTCATAAAATGGTAAAAGTTCACAGAGCAATAATCTCTTTTTGGTGGGTAAGTACCTAACTGGTTTTTTAAGCAGATTTTACAAATGGTGTTTTTTTTTTAGAAACCAGAAAGTGCTTAACTCCTAAGTGATCTGAGTTCTGAAGTTTTTAAACTTGTAAATGGTTTGGCAAAATTATCAATAGGAAACTTAGATAGAATATAGATTAAAAAAAATAGTAGTTTTTCAAAACTTTTTTGAAGCAAGTTAATTTTACCTAAACCCCAACAAAAACCTCCCTGTCATTTGTACAGGGCCGGATTTACCCATAGTGCATCGGTGCAGCTGCACAGGGCGCCAGATTTTGAGGGGCGCCAGATTTTGGGTTTTTTTTTTCCAAACTCTGTAAAAAATTGAGAATTGCGTCGAAAGTTCAGAAACTCTGATTGTTAATTGATTGTATTGCGTTCCATCTTTTAAATGACCTGACCCTAGACTTTAGGGGTCAAACTTTCTCTTAGTTTCGTAGTTAACAGTAACAGAAACAGGTACCTGGTTTTGGTTTCTGCCCCAGAATCATTCACTCACTCGAAAAAGTCGTATTTAGTTAGAGTTAGCACGTAGTAACCAAAGAAGACCGTCGGGTTGGGAAATGCGCGGGCAAGGGTGGGGGGCGTGCGAGGGGGGCGCCTCGAAAATTTCTGCACAGGGCGCCAAAAACGTAAATCCGTCCCTGAAAGAGAGTCATAAATAATGACAAGTCGTCTAAGTGTCGCAGCGATTTTAGCATTCGTCCCTCTCACGAGGGTCGGCAGGGCGGTCAAGACATCTTCGCAGTTTGACGCGCCTTCAATCCAGCGGAGCTGCAACATGCCTACACCCGTGGTCAAATAGTTGTATGTCACGCCTGCCGTAAACGAACTCAAATATCGATGGTTCATTCCACGCGTACAGGAACTTATTAACCACGATTGCAACGTTGACATCCACAGTGAATGCTTCAAATTCAATGTACATTATTTAAGAGATACGCACAGATTCTCTGAAAAATTTACAGTAATTTCAGGAACGGTTTTAATTGAAATCACAGGAAATTTCATCGCGACATTAAATTTGGGCCTATTTTCCTTTTTTCCTGTTTACCGAAAAAAACCACGGTCCCTGATTTTAAATCGTAGCTATTAGGATAGTTATTTTCTGTTTCTTTTTTTTTATGTTGAAAATTAGAACAGAGTCGTAAATAATGACGCGTCGCCTAAGTGTCGCAGCGATTTTAGCGTTCGTCCCGCCCGCGAGAGTCGGCAGACATCTTCGCAGTTTGACGCGCCTTCAATCCAGCGGAGCTGCAACATGCCTACACCCGTGGTCAAATAGTTGTAAGTCACACCTGCCGTAAACGAACTCAAATATCGATGGTTTATTCCACGCGTACACAGGAACTTATATACCTCGATTGCAACGTTGACATCCACAGTGAATGCTTTAAATTCGATGTTCATTTTTTAAAAGGTACGCAGAGATTCTCTGAAGAATTTACAGTAATTTCAGGAACGGTTTTAATTGAAATCACAGGAAATTTCATCGCGACATTATATTTAGTCCTATTTTTCTTTTTCTTCTGTCTACCGAAAAAAACCAAGGTCCCTGATTTTAAAACGTAGATATTATGATAGTTATTATTATTTTTTTATTTATTTATTTATTTTTTTTACTATGGTGAAAATTAGAAGAGAGGCATAAATAATGACGCGTGCGTCGTCTAAGTGTCGCAGCGATAATAGCCTTCGTCCCTCTCGCGAGGGACGGCAGGGCGGTCAAGACATCTTCGCAGTTTGAAGCGCCTTCAATCCGACGGAGCTGCAACATGCGTACACCCGTGGTCAAACAGTTTTATGTCACGCCTGCCGTAAACGAACTCAAACATCGATGGTTCATTCCACGCGTATAGGAACTTATTCACCTCGATTGCAACGTTGACATCCACAGTGAATGCTTGAAATTCAATGTATATTTTTTAAAAGATACGCACAGATTCTCTGAAAAATTTAAAATAATTTTATGAACGAGTTTAATTGAAATCACAGGAAATTTCGTCGGATGTTATATTTAGTTCTATTTTACTTTTTTTCTTTTTACCGAAAAAACCACGGTCCCTGATTCTAAATTGTAGGTATTAGGATAGTTATTTTCTTTTCCTTCTTTTATGTTGAAAATTAGAACAGAGTCGTAAATAATGACGCGTCGTCTAAGTGTCGCAGCGATTTTAGCGTTCGTCCCTCTCGCGAGGGTCGGCAGGGCGGTCAAGTCATCTTCGCGGTTTGAAGCGCCTTCAATCCGACGGAGCTGCAACATGCGTACACCCGTGGTCAAATCGTCGTATGTCACGCCTGCCGTAAACGAACTCAAATATCGATGGATCATTCCACGCGTATAGGAACCTGTTTACCTCGATTGCAACGTTGCAAACCAAAGTTAATGCTTCAAATTCAATCAATATATTTAAAAAGAAACGAAAATATTCTCTGAAAAAATTAAAATAATTCTACGAACGATTTTAATTGAAATCTTAGGGGCTGCGAGGGGGGCGCCTCGAAAATTTCTGCACAGGGCGCAAAAAACGTAAATCCGTCCCTGCATTTGTAAATAAATTAAACAATTTTTTTTCTCTTGTATCTCTTTTGGGTATTTTAATCAAATTACAAAAGAGATGTTCAAGTATATGTATTTCATAATTTCATCATAAAAATGATGTTTACAAACTTACAAGGCAGGCATCCATATGTCCGTCGCTATGACCCGCACAAAACATTTCCGTGTAGAGCTCCACGTGGATGTTCTTCTGTCGGTGCCACTGCAAGCACTCATCGTCACTCAGGATCGGAACGGTTGCCTTGTGCAAGATATTTGTCCCAGTTTTACCTGAAGCTCCGCAAAATTTCCATGTAATTCATTATACAACATTTTCAAAGACGCAACATTTGAAGCAGAGATGTAAATGATAAAAAAGAAAAAGAAATCACACTCCTGTCTACACTTACTGGACGTATTTATACTGAAAGAAACTGAAAGAAAATGCATCAAATCAGAAAGGAGCTGTGTTGCACGGAAATCCTCGGTTCCTCTGAATTAATAATTTTTATATACCTTGACATTTTTGGCATAAATACGTCCAATTTAACAAAATACAGCGGTCTTTCAAAATCACCGCTCCTCTTTTAATTTTTTTTTAAGTATCTAAGGTATAAAGAATCAAAAATTATAATTTTTAATATTTTCCCACAGACAGTACCTCATGGAGGGAAATTTGGCAACGTTCAAATTTTCATACAGCATTCTTGCCCATCATCTCAAAATAGCGTCCACGCCAAATAAGTTTTCTCACATCGAAACTGCGACAGAAGATCTGCCATCTAGATTCTTCAATTTACTTAACATGTATAAGTGATGCCAGGCGATCTTCTGTCGCAGTCTAGAGGTGCATAAACGTATGTGGCGTAGACGCCAGCTATGTGTGAATTAGTGCACAATGTTTGGCCAATTCCTAAAAAAGAAGGCGCACTCTGCGGCGAACCTTTTTTTGTGTTTTCTGCCTGTCACTTCATCAGACACTCACCGTATTTCGTATCCGTCTTTCCCCAGCCTGCAATGACACCTGACGCACCATAGAAAGATGTGCCTAGTTCTGGCAAGCAAATTGGAATTATATTGTCTTGAAACCGAACAGGCTTGGCTAATTTGATCAACGCCAAATCATACCTGGAATTTGAATAAGTAAGTATACTGAGAGCAGTGATCGCCAAAGTAAGAAGAATGTAAAGAGTTAAAGAATGCCCGCAACAAGAAAATAGATATACTTAAGTAGAGATTCATCAAAACTGTTATTTCTGAATCAACACTGCACAGGAATTAATTTTGGTTTCGTTATACTTGGATTGCATTTTGCAACAGGGAACTACCACATCTGCCTAATTTGGGAAAAATCGTCTGAACCATTAGTTTACCTATGCAGATAGATGATTTAGGAAAGAAAAGAAATCGTATAGCTTCTAGTACTTAGGAAATATTTAGGAAAATATTATCTCGGTTGCTGTGTTAAACGATTTCCGTTCACGTCTTATTTCATCGGAGGGCATTGATTTATTGCTTCACATCCTCATGGAATAGGTATCTCTCTGACAGAGAGAAAGGTCGCAGCAATTTTCAAGGTATTGCGTTTATGGTTCTCCAATTGGACGTATTTCTATCAAACGAAACTATGTGCATTATGACGTGAGCCCTGTTATGCATGTATTCTTATTGATCTCAGGGCTCATGTCTTAATGCACATAGTTCCGTTTGATAGAAATACGTCTAATATAGAACGTCTGTACGTCTATATAGGTAGAATACTTGAAAAGAAAAACATTGGCAAAAAAGTCTGCGACGTCATAAACCGAGGTATACGCGCTTTTCAAGTTCAGGCATACAAATGGCATTGGCTCTGCACTCGTCTCTAACATTATACTCGCCTTATCCAGGAGCGTCAATTTGGGGGAAACTATAAAAAATTCTCTTAAAAGGTCCAATTTCGAATACAGAATTTTGACGGGGGGAAGATATCTCTATTGCCCCCCCCCC